TTTATTTCAACTTGCTGTGAGAGATGTGTTGGCTTCTGTGAAAATGCAAGCTGTAATTTTATAAACTGCCAGAAAATCCATTTGTTAAAATTTGTTCTCATTAATGGGGTTTTTGGGATCACTGAGTAAAAGAAGAAGAAAGGAGTAATATTAGTGTTACAGGTTTGGAATGCAGGAGCTTTACAAAAATCAGAAATTGATTACAAGAGGCCATGCTGATGCTGTTTGAATTTTAACATACCAATTTTCACTAGAAGAGACTTGAAAACAATTCTTCTCAAATCACTAAAAATTCTGTATATATTCAGCATGGCTTACCATGTTTTAATTCCACCAGAAAATATAAAAAGCTATGGGAACTCTTAAGCATATAGCAGGTTATAGGCAGATTTGTAATAACCTAAATAAGAACAAACATGTACAGAGACTTCCTTATGTTAGTTGCTATTTCTCTTTGATTTGCAAATGAGTCTTTCATTTAAAGTAAATTATGAGACTCAAGCCTGTGCTGACTTAACTATTAACTAACTTTTACACCTGCCTTTCAGGGTTCAGACAATGACCCCTGATTAATCTTAGTCTGATATTATCCTTAACTTAACAGCAACTAGTTCTTAAAGTGGCATGATCTAATTATTTTCATATAACCTAGTATTATGATTGTCTAATGTCTTATTTGCTTTTCCTATAATAGTAAAGTGTTTGAGTGAATACCATTCAGGACAAAAACTCAGTGTCCTAAATACCTAATTCAGGACAAAAAGAAAGACACACATTTAACCATCAAATCTGAACTAGGACATCAGGCACAAAGAAAATAAAAGAAAATCTACAACACATGAGTGAGCAAAACAGGCTACCAATGCAAAAGAACTGTTAGATTGATGTCCAATGTCTCTCCCAAAACACTAAATACCAGAAGGCAAAAGAGGAACAATTTCCACTATGTTCTCAGGGGAAAAGTTTATGTCCAAATAATTAAAAACTCTGGCAAACTATCTTATTCAAAGACAACTGAGATATTTTAAAATATGTAGTCTCAGATAATATACTTCTCACTTGATATTTTTTGAAAAAATAACTTGAGGGGAGCCTGGGTGGCTCAGTCTGTTAAGCATCTGCCTTTGGCTTGGGTCATGATCCCAGGGTTCTGGGATCTAGCCCCGCATCAGGCTCCCTGCTCAGCAGGGAGACTGCTTCTCCCTCTGCTGTTCCCTCCCTAACCCACTTGTGCTCTCTGGTGCTCACGCTCTCTCTCTGTCAAATAAATAAATAATAAAGTCTTAAAAAAAATAACTTGAAAATGTACTCTTAAATATGAGCAAAATTAAGAGCTAAAAATATAAAAAAAAAAAAAATGAATAGTGATTATAGCCAGTTAAGAAGGTTTGATTCTGTTTGATGGAGAAGGTCACGCCATGTGGGGATATTCTGTTTTATTTCTATTGAAGGCATCTCAAAAAACATATGGTATTATTTATGTCAGAAAGAAAAAAATACCAAACAAAAAAATGAAGCCTCATGTAATAAATGAAAAAAATAAGGAAACAAGTAAGTTAAAAAGAGAGTGGGAGAGGACACAGAACAAAGACAGGTGGTTTTGTTCTCAGGCTAACCTATACTTACTTAAAGAACACTGCATCACGTTATAGTGCGACAGGATCAAACTATCCTCTGTAACCATATATTTATGGAAAAGTTCAGTCCCACTTGGAATCTCAAGAAACACAGCTTTCCCTGTTATAGAGGCTTGAGAAAGTCTCATTTCCTTCCCGTGCTGAACAGCTGTAATTAGCATCTAGCACTCTCCTAGACCCAAGCCATTCGTGGCGGTATTTGGAGCAAGAGGGATGTGGGGATGATAACATGTAAAGAGGTAAGCTGGAGAATGATCTTTAGGAGCTAGGGTAGGAAGTCACTCAAGAGACCTGGCCTCAGCCATTCTTGACTCTGGGTCCACTCCCTTCTTATCTTTTCTCAGGCCCCAGAAGTATCTTTCCTTTTTGGGCTAGTAGAGTACCACATTTGAACTTATAAATACTCTACTTTGTTACATTTTTAGACAGACCTTTTCATTTATCTCTAAATATTTTCCTTTTTTAAACCCTTTAAGGAAAACAAGGGCACACACACACAGAGGATGGAAATTAGGTAACATTATATTTCTGTGAAAAAATCAGACTTTTCCTGTCTTGGGGACCAGAAGACATTGTGTAATGAACAGGCCTGTAATTCTATTTAGCGGTTATGGAGAAAGGGCCAAGGTTAACTGTCAGCAAGCTGAGGGACTGTGTAGGAGTCACGGACAGTAGAATATATTTAGTTTGTAGTAAAGAGACAGAAGGATTCAGAAAAATGTATCAAAAATGCAGCTTGGCTCAAGTGAGAACCTGGAAAACTAATGAGTGTTTGGGGTATACCTGTATAAACCAAGTATATTAAAACATATGGACTTTACAGATCGGAAATGTTATCAATATATTAGGAGTTGTCATTTAACAATCTAACTGAAAAAACATAAACAAAAGATCAACAACACCTAAACTCTTATGTATTAGATTTTGTTCCTGGTTCTTTGGAATCATTCTGAGGTCATTAGAGCACTGCTGTAAACATTAATGCCATTATTTCTCACGATTGCAAAGAGAAGTCAGTTCTACTATTTCCTCATTCAATTAACATGGAAACCTATAATCTGTCTACCGAGTAAAAAAAAAAAAATCTCTGGGGGTGCCTGGGTGGCTCAGTCGGTTAAGTTGGATCTTGATTTCAGCTCAGGTCTTGATCTCAAGATTGTGAGTGGAGCCCACTTAAATACAACTCTGCCAGGTTGTAACTTTCTGAGTTCTAGAATGTACAAAAAACCCCCAACAAAACCAGATGTGTAAACACAGGTGCTGCAGGAATGCCTACAGAAATAAAATGAATTTCGAAAGTCTGTAAAATAATCCAGTGAGTATCTTTTTCAAATACATTAAGGGGTTCCAGTTCAAGATGGTGACATAGGAAGATCCTCAACTTACCTCCTCCCACAGACACGTTGAGTCTGCAGCTACCTATGGAACAATTTCCTCTTAAAAAACCTAAAGGCTGGCTGAATGCTGACTACACCTCAGACAAACAAGAAGAAAACCACATAGAAGCACGTAGGAGAGCCTGAGGTACAACCTTGCCATGAACCCCCATTCTAGTGCAGTGACCTGCAACCAGGAGAAAAAGTAAAACCTGGACTTTCTCCCCAAAGAGCAAAGGGTTCAAACCACACATCAGGCACCTCAACTTTTAAGACCTACATCTGAGAGAAAAGAAATTATTTTCCAAAATTGCTAGTCTTCATTTTTAATATTAAAGGACACAATTTACATAATGTTATATCTACTATTTTAGCATACTTACTAAAGGATAACTACAATACACACTATAGCCAAGTATTTTTCTTTTCTTCTTCTTTTTTTTAAAGATTTTATTTATTTGAGAGAGAGAGAATGAGAGACAGAGAGCACGAGAGGGAAGAGGGTCAGAGGGAGAAGCAGACCCCCTGCCGAGCAGGGAGCCCGATGTGGGACTCGATCCCGGGACTCCAGGATCATGACCTGAGCTGAAGGCAGTCGCTTAACCAACTGAGCCACCCAGGCACCCTCTTTTCTTCTTTTTTTAAAGATTTATTTATTTTTTTGACAGAGAGAGAGAGACAGAGAGAGAGAGTACAAGCAGGGAGAGCTGCAGACAGAGGGAGAGGGAGAAGCAGACTTCCCACTGAGCAGGGAGCCCGATGCGGGGCTCAATCCCAGCACCCTGGGATCATGACCTGAGCCGAAGGCAGATGCTTAACCAACTGAGCCACTCAGGCGCCCCTAGCCAAGTATTTTTCATGATTATAATGGTGTTTAATTCCTCCAACACTACTCTTTTCCAGAGCCCCACATAATAAATTATCAAACATGTTGACTCAATCATGTAAATCTATTACAAATAGAAAATGGAGTCAATCTGCCAGTGAGGAGAATATTATCAATAAGGATCAAATATAGTTTAATATTGCCTTTATTTCCCTAAAATATATTACCAAATCTTTCTAACAGGAAATGATGAATTCTATGGAGTGTTTGAAAGACTTAATGTACAGAAAGGATAGGAGAAACAAGATTATGCTTGGTGAAGAGTAAAATATATGCTAGCCTATATTGTCATATGAATCTTAAAAGTGGGAATTGGCAAATGGTACATATTTCATTTTATTATATTCAGAGATTAAAAGGGAAATTTAATTGTTTTCCTTCTACATTATCTTGTATAATTATTTTTAACATAGTACACAGGTACTATAATTGTTAAATGCCTTTTGTTGTCTGGCAGAAATAGAAGAGGGATAAAAGATTTCACTTCTATAATAATAAAGCATAGTCATCCATAAAAGAAATGAAACAATTGCTTTCTTTCACAAAATATTCACTCTAAATAATGATGCTAGTGCACAAAATAACACTCCTTTTAAAAAGAGTGTAAATCAATTTGCATATTTAATTAATTTATTCAAAGTATGAAGTATTTTTAAATTAAAATCATTAACATTAATATAAATAAGTGCCTGTAAAAATGATACAGTATTTTCCTATATCTTGGCAAAAATTAGTGTGTTCTCCTCATTAAGGAAGAAAACAGGGGCGCCTGGGTGGCTCAGATGGTTAAGCGTCTGCCTTCAGCTCAGATTATGATCCCAGGGTCCTGGGATCAAGCCCCACGTCAGGCTCCCTGCTCAGCGGGAAGTCTCCTTCTCCCTCTGCCTCTACTGCTCCCCTGCATGTACTCTCTCACTCTCTCTGTCAAATAAGTAAATAAAATCTTAAAAAAAAGAAAACATGCGGTTAATTTTCTGAAAGGGATATAACTTTTGGCAAAAGGGAGGTTACAAGCTTTTTCTACAGTGGCATTCTGTGTCACTGTAACAGTATCAATTTGTAGCTTATCCGTTTTAACAATGCAGAAATAGACTGCCTTACCGTTGGTGCTGTATCTACCCGGCGGTTACAAGGCTTTCTTTCCATGCTGTTAATCCCTATGAAAAGAAAAGATGGTGAATATTTGCTTATTATACTATCCGTTTTATTTTGAAAACATTTAAGTCAGTAAGAGGTGACTCCTACAGCTTACAAGAAAAAAAGCCTCACTTGAATGGCAGGACACTTTAAAGTCGTATCGTGAATTCTTTGGTCAGAGACAGTTGGAGATGGGGCGCCTGGGTGGCTCAGTCGGTTAAGCGTCTGCCTTCAGCTCAGGTCATGATCCCAGGGTCCTGGGATCGAGCCCCACATCGGGCTCCCTGCTCCGCGGGGAGTCTGCTTCTCCCTCTCCCACTCCCCCTGCTTGTGTTCCCTCTCTAGCTGTGTCTCCTCTGTCAAATAAATAAATAAAATCTTTAAAAAAAAAAAAAAAGAAAAAAAGAAACAGTTGGAGAGTTTAGCTAAGAGACCCAACTCAAAGTGAGCTGAGCCAATTTTCCCATTCAAGTGGTGTTTAGCAATGCATGATGCATGATGTGTCCATATCCTGCTCTTGGCTCAAAAATTATACCATTATCTCCACTCTGCTGCATTTCTTCCATTAAAGTTTTATTTCTGACTTGAGGTCATCAAGTTTTCATAAAGAAATATCACAAAGGCTATAAAAGGAATCACTTCCTTATTTTCTCAAAAAGAATAAACAAATCTACTTGAATTTCTCTTTGATCATTTGACTTCCTACCATGCCATATTCTATTTATTCAATCACCGTGGAGTGTCTGGAAAAAAAAAAAAAGTTGCCCTGATTCTCTCTTTTAAAATAATATTGACTTCTAAACTTCAAAAAATCCTTTTATCATGTGTGGATTTATCTTTCTGTTCCCAATGTCCTCTACTGCATTTCTTTGTAATAAACAGCTTTTAAGGATATAATATATTGCATCTCATCTGTAGAGATACTGGTTCAAAGTCTAGCTCAAGTTAAAAATGAACACAGGTGTGGGTCTCATTAACTTTACAGTCTCTGTCCATCAGCAAACCGATATGTGAGTTAGGACATTAGAACAGTTTGTTCAAATAATGGTACAGGCTGTCACATTCAGGTCTGGTTAGAAGTGAGAACTGCAATGTACTGTTAGCAATTAGTACAATTTCTAGTTGAAACAGACACTAGCTCTCTCAATTACAAGGCATTTAAAACTCATTTTTCTTCAAGTATGATAAGGGATTAAGTGAGAGCATCACAAAACAATCACTTTTTATCTGTACAAGAGTATATTAAAAATGAACAAAGTACCATAAAACATGATTTAAAAAAAAACATGGTTTTTGTTGCATTTAAAAAATTTTCTCAACATCTATTATTAGCCAATGAAGTAGAAATACTACCTATTCAATCAAATAATATTTACTGAGTGATAAATTATAAAGGATAAATTGTAATTTCTGACCTCAAGGCTAGAGTAAAACAGAGATGTCCTTTTTTGAAAAAAATATGACAGAGCAAATTAACAGTTTTGTCTTAAGAACAGTAAAGTCTTTAAAGTGATCTTTATGGAAAGACACATTTTAATCACAGAGTAACACTGGCCTTGAATAAAAAATTTTTAAAAACCCCGAGGAAACATATTAGAAAATGTTCAGATAATGCTGATCCTTACTGTGAGAGTTTAGAAATACAGAGGTCTATAGAACAAATGGGGAAATCCCCACTTCCCTGGCGCCCACACTCCCACAGCCCTCTTTGGCCGCATCCACTGAGAAGTCTGGCATACAGTGGCTTTTAAATGAGAGTGGTCACACCACGAGACTCAGGAATTAGCAACATTTGACACGTGTGTTCTCACTATTGTAATCTGTTATAAAATTGACCTAGACTGATTACTAATTTTAAAATTCATATCCAATTAGAAAGTAACTTAAAAATGTTGAAAATAAAAAAAAAAACAAACCCAAATCTATACCCTCAGCTTATACAATTACAAAGAAAAAAACTACATATTTTACAGTTTTCAATTTCAGGATAAGAAGGTGATAAAAACTAAAATTTTGAAAAGTGGATTACCCAAAGATAAAATCTGTTTTAAATTTAGATTGCCTATTGAAATAATACCATTTGGAAATACAATCAAACATGTTCAATCTTTTGGTAAAGAATATACAGAAAAAATAAGCTTAAGAAAAAATGTCCCCAAACAACTATTTTAAGTAAATTTTACCTAAAAAAATCTCTATTTATATGTTATTTCACTTTTATTAAGGTATAATGATAACTGAAAGCTCATAATAAATAGATTGCTGTGCTAGTTATTTTTGTGTGTCAGCTTGGCTAGGCCACAGTACCCAGATAACTGGTCAAACATTCCAGATATTTCTGTGAAAGTATTTTTTGGATAAGAACACTTAAATAAGTAGACTTCAAGTAAAGTGGAGTGCTTTCCATAATGTGAGAAGGCTTCATCCTGGGCTGGAGCCTTAAGAAAAAGACTGACTTCCCCTAAAAGAGAAGGAATTTTGCCAAAAGACTGCTTTGGGACTTGAACTGTAACTCTTCCCCGGGTCTCCAGCCTGCCCACTAACCTTGCACGTTTTGTAACCTGGCCTGCCTCCAAAATCATGTAAACCAATTCCTCAAAATAAATCTATATACACATCCTACTGGTTCTGTTTCTCTGGAGAATGCTAACTAATATGCTAACTTTCTGGGAAACAAAATGAAAGTACAATTGTTTGTCTTTATCTAAATTAAATTTTTGTTCACTAAATATATTAATTGTCCAGTAATACAGTTAAAAGGTACAACTTATCATGGTATATTTTAAAATTAGAATACCTCAGATGAACTTAAGAATATTACATCTGTAGAGTAAATCAATCCACCAAATAAAAAATCAATCTGTCAATAAATATCTACCACTAGATTGTCCAGTCTGACAGTCTCTGCTTTTTAAATGTTTATTTACATTTAATGTGATTACTGATATGGCTGTGTTTAAGTCTACCATCTTACTAATTCGTTGCATCTATTTCTCTTTCTTCTTTCCTTCCTCCCTCTTTTTTCCATACTCTTTTTTTTAAAATATTTTATTTATTTGTTCATGAGGGAGAGAGAGAGGGAGAGAGAGAGAGAGAGAAGCAGAGGGAGAAGCAGGCTCCCAAGGAGCAGGGAGCCCGATGCGGGACTCGATCCCAGGACCCTGGAATCATGACCTGAGCCGAAGGCAGACGCTTAACCATCTGAGCCACCCAGGCACCCTCCATACTCTTTTGAAACAAATACTTCTGCTATTCCATTTGACATCCCCGATGGCTATATTGTTAGCTACCCATTTTTGTATTTTTTTAGTGGTGAGATATTGTATCAGACATCTCTTATTACAGTATACCCCGAATTAAGATTTTTCTACTTCACCAAAAATATAAGCATCTCAAAACAGTATTCCATTTACCCTTCCACCCTTTATGCTACTGTTATATTTTACCTCTACATGTTATAAATCCGACAACATAGTGTCACAATACTTGATTTAAACAGTTACTAGGCTTTAAGAATGAAAAAGTTAGCTTTTAATATTTACACATATCTTGATCCTTTCTAGTGTTTTCATTCCTTCCTGCAGATCCAGGTTTTCATTTGAGATCAGTTCCATTTTTATTTATTTATTTATTTATTTATTTATTTATTTATTTATTTATTTATTTATTTAGAGATCATTTCCATTTAGACTGAGGAACCTTTTGTATATTCTATGGGTGACTTTTTTTTTTTTTCCTGAAAAATCTTTAGCAGGCATTCATATATGAAGGATATTTTTGCTGGGTATTGAAATCTAGGTTGATAGTCATTGTCCTGCAGAACTTCATCGATTTTATCCCATTATTTCTTATGAGGATGGAGCCATCAATTCTTCCTGTTATTCTCTGAATGTGACACATTTTTTCCTCTGGCTGCTTTTACGATTTTTTCTTTAGTTTCATTTTCTTCCGTTTAATTAAAATGTACCCAGATGAGGTTTCATTTATATATAACCATCTTGGGATTTGCTAAGCTTTTTATATCTCCTACATTAATGTCTCTTATTAGAGGTGGAAAACTCTTGGCCCATTATTTCTTCACCCTACCTTCTCTATTTTCCTTCTGGAATTCCAATTACACTTGTTTAGATGATTTGATGTAGTCACACAAGTTTGACGCTCTGTTATTTCCCTCCCCAACCCTGTACTTCAGTTTGGATAATTTTTATTGTTCTGTCTTTGAGTTCACTGACCCTTTCTTTCCATGTGTACTACTAGCAGTTAGGCCCATTTAATGAATTTTTCATTTCATCTATTACACTCTTCAGGTATAGAATTTCCATTTCTTTCTTTTTTTATGGTTTCCACTTCTCTGCTGAAATACTTCATCATACCCATGTTTCCTCAAGCTATTTAACATAGGTATAAGGTTAAAGTTCTTGTCTGCAAATTCCAACACTTTGATTATCTGTAGTTTCCTTCTACTGATTGTTCTTTTTCTTGATTATGAGCCACGTATTCCTGCTCATTCATATACTTCATATTTCTGACTGTAGCTTAGATCTGTTAGACATGTAATTGGTAGAGAATGAAACAGAAACATGCTTCTCCAGAAAGGGCTCACTCCTTCTTCTTCCTGAAAGCTTTGGTGAGGGGTGGATCTTTGTGTTCAAATCTGGAGTTGGCCTGGATTGGGGCTGAGCTGTTGCTTTAATTTCAGTATATCTATCTATTAAATATCCAAAGAATAAGATCAGTTCCTCCCTCTAGAAATTTGGAATTTAAGCCTCTAGAGAATAAGGGAACACTTTCTCTCTGCCTTTCCCATTTCCTATGATACTGCTTATTGGGGAGGTGCAGGGTGGAGAGGACTGAAGCATATTTGGGGTCTTTTGGATTCCAATCCATTATGCCAGCCCACATAGTCCTTAGAAATTCAGCTGATCTGTCTGTTTTAGCAAAGTCATTCTGCCTATAAAAGGCTTGCTACTCTGTTCTCCTGTGTCATTGTCTTAATATTCTCAGGTTTTATAAGTTTTTT